CACAATTTCCTAATCAATCACTCCCTGCTAAAACCAAGCCTAAGGAGTTAAAACTGAATGGAATGCATATTCTTCCACCGTTGACCATTGTCTCCCTCACCATCCCCTGCCTTTCCCCCACCCATATCTTATTTTAGATTGCAAACTCATCAGGAATTGAGAGATCTGCCTTTTTTCTTATTGTTCTTTGAAAGCACGGTGGGGAAATCTAGGCTTCTGTTCACGCATATTCCCAGGGGACCACAGACAATGCAATCCTATGCAGAGTTACTCTAGTCTAAATCAATGGGCTTTGACTGAAGTAACTCTGGAAAGGATTGCATCAACAATATGTCTTTTGGGCTGCTTTAGCAAATGAACAAACTAGTTACCTAATGAGTCTACTTCCTTCCTGAATGGTTAACAGTTACTATAACTCCAGTGCCCTGAAGATCTAGCTAGAATTATATTCATTGTGGCATTTTTTAAAATTATCAACCCAGATGTCATCAGCTTATTCTTATTCCTGACCATGGCATTTTGTGAAATCCTTCTATAAGTACTTACTATCTGTTTTGTACTTTAGTTTTTATAGCAGTTTTGTGTAGCCAGTTTGGTGTAGTGGTTAAGTATGTGGAGTCTAATCTAGGAGAACCAGGTTTGATTCCCCACTCCTCCACTTGCAGCTGCTGGGTGACCTTGAGCAAGCCATAGTCCTGTCAGAGCTGTTCTTGAAAGAGCAGTTCTTGAGAGAGCTATCTCAGGCCCACCTATCTCACAGAGCGTCTGTTGTGGGGAGGGGAAGGGAAAGGAGTTTGTAAGCCACTCTGAGACTCCAAGTGAAAGGTGCGGTATAAATCCAATCTCCTCCTCCTCCTAACTGTGGCCAAAACCTGCTTTTTAAATGTATCATAAAAAGCCACTGGGAAGAGCTTCTTATACTTGCACACTACCTAGTGTACACAATGTTCTAGTGCAATACCAATATTATGAGGCAGCCCTTTACAATGTCTGAAAACAACATGCGAAGGAATAGATGACAGATGAGGAATTCACTTTATTACAATGCCAGTTACTAGTTTCTAGCTAAAAGTATTAGTTTGACATAGCTTATATGTAAAGTATTAGACTGATTTACTAAAATATCTCCATAAAGGTGGGGAAACATCCTAGAAAATTAACAGTGCAAACCTAAACCGATTTGTGCTCTTCTAAGATCAATGATTTTAATGGACTTAGAAAAGTGTACTACGCTTAGGATGGCATAAGTACCACCTTCAGATTGCCTATAAATCTATTAACACCAGATTATACAGATAAACAAATAGCACAGATTTGAAGGGAAAACGAACTACATTATGCTACACAGAGAATAGCAGGCTGCCAGAACCATGGTGTTGTCCTCTCAAACTATTGAAGTTTTACTTTCACTATAGCTTTTCAGTAGGTAACCATTATTAATGTATGTGGGATATCACATACTGAAGAATAAGGAATAATAATAACAACAACAACAACAATAATAATACAGGGCTCACCTAATAAGAGGTTTAGAAATGAGAAGCAGAGAAGTTACCAACAGGCCCCCATAAGTGGAAAATACAAAGTTTAAAAAGACTGAAAGTGTAATTACTGAATTACAAAAGCAAAATGTGATCTGTCTTCCAAGAGTATATGCAACATTGGTAGTAAACCCAATTGGTGCAATTTTATTCCAGAGAAAATGTTTTTGCCTGTGCAAAATGAAAAATACGACACATTTTTCACTTAAAAAAAACAACCTGGGTAGGATCACAACACACATGTTGCATTTTTATATGGGATGCATCGAACTAACTCATGTATTGGGAATGGGAAATAAAAAGGCTCATCCAAAGAGCAAGTTGTCAAAATTACTGAATTGGAAAAAGATAGACTGGGAAAGTGGCTGGCTTAATACTGTTGAAGCAGCTGGAAAGACACTGAACAGTCAGCAGATTTGTTTGTGATCATTCTCTTGGATGGCAGCCCCTGGTTCTTGATCTGCCATTTGGCCTATCAGGGATCAGCACTGGGAGCACTACATTTCATTTCTGTTCTCAGAGCCGGCTCACCCGCTAGGCAAACTAGGCATTCGCCTAGAGCGCGGGCTGGCCCTAGGAGTGCCGAACAGGACCCCCCCACACCAAAGCACCCCAGCCACCACCAAAAGCAGGCTGCATGATCTCCCTGGCTAGTGGCTTCCCTGACCAGGTGACTGCCGGTGTCGCCTCCTCCTCTGAGTTCTGACTGGCTGGCCCTAGGGCTGGGTGGGCCTGGGTGCCGCGCCAAACTGCACACTACGGCAGCCCTGCCCCCACCAAAATCCCACAAGCCACCCAGAAGCCCTGCCTCTTCCTGCTTTCCCCCCAGAGACTGCCGGCAGGCCCGCCTCGCGCGCCTCCCCTCAGCGCCTCAGCGCCCGGGCGCATGTAGGCTCAGTTGTAGGGCCAACAAGTACCAGTCTGGCAAGTGCGCCCATGCTGCCCAGAAGCCCTGCCTCTTCCCACCTTCCCCCAGAGACTGCCAGCGGGCCCACCTTGTGCCTCCCCTCATCGTCTGAGCGCCCAGGCACATGTAGGCTCAGTCGGACTCGTGTACACGGCAAGTGTGCCCACGCTGCCCAGAAGTGCTGGTAAGCAGTGTTCCCTGTAAGCTGAGTTAGTGTGAGCTAGCTCACCATTTTTTAGCCTCCGTCTCACACATTTTTGTCTTCGCTCAGGAAGGAGGGCTCCAGAGCAAGCTAATTTATGCAGTAGCCAAATTGATCGCTCACAGCTTTAATGCCAGTAACTCACAAAGTAGAATGTTTGCTCACAGGACTCCACACCTTAGAGGGTAAGTTATTTTGTTTCGGGGGGGGGGAGAGAGGAGCGGCAGGAGGGGGATGCTGAAGTGTATGTCCCTGTCTTGCTTCTTCTTTTAAAAGAAGGGGTAGAAATACAAACTTCACCATAGCATAAATGTATTCTCCAGTCCCATTCTCCAATAATGCATGGATTGGAAATTGCACAATTGCCTTTAGTTACTTGAGGGGCAACTGCAGAAAGGCTTCATAATGCACTGAATTATTATCTGGCTAAACCCTTAGAAGTCCCCAAAGAATGTGCTCTGTGGGCACACTGGAGGTTCTCTATTATAATTTTTTTTTAAAAAAATTCAGACCATGGTACATTGGCAGCCATGCCTAAAATTCTACTGAGTTTGGCACATTAGGCAATGTGGGAGGGAGAGTCTCTTTAGGCAATGTGAGAAGGTTAGAAGGATCTCAGAACATTGCTGCACGCAAGTAACTGACCATGGGACACTCTAGACCCCAGCCTAAATACATATGGTTTCTGAAGGTATCTACTGTTTATACCCAACACAGGGTTTTTTCCAGCCCTGCCACAATTTGTACTCCATTTACAGGGTTTTAAACAGAACATAACAAACACCACTGATAGCTAGATGTGTAGGGATGTATAAAACAGAATAGGAGCCAATAAGTTTAGTAATCTCTACTCACAGAAACTTATTTTGCTTTTCTCTCAGTATATGAACTTCACATACTCAGAGTGCATATATAGCTATGCAGTTATAATTGTTTTTGCTTTTTTTTTACAGCAAAGTTGCACTCAAGTTGCCAGGTCCACCCTGGCCACCAGCAGGGGATGGGGGGGATAGGGTTGCCAGATCCAGGCCCCACCTGGAGGCTGGCATCCCTAATTCAGAGGGGGAGAGAAAGAGCTGGAGACATTAAAAAGCGGAGTTCTTCAATACTTTTTATTTATTTACTCTATGCATTTTGGGGGGAAAGAAATAGATTCATCCTGAGAAATGAAGGGAGATTTGTTTGCTGAGATCTGTTATCGGAGCTTGAATATGTGGGTATATGTGGCAGGACTTCTTTCTCTCCAGGCCCCGCCTGGAGGTTGGCGACCCCATAATTGGTGGGCACGCAGGGGGCGGGGCGCCAGCAGGTGGCCTCACCTAGAATACAAAAAACCCTGTCTGTTCTGTATCAGTACACCTGACACCACAAAACAGAGCCAGCCCCAAACACATGCTTGCACTGAACAATTTGAGATCTCGTGAAATCTTGCATGGAATACTGAGGCAACAAATTCTCAGCTTTATCAATGACCCTAAAAACAGTGCCCCCAAGAAACAAACAGTACTGTTGGGGTGGGGGTGGGGAGCCTCCATCCCAAAACAGCCTAAAGTTGCCACATATACCTGGGGCATAAATCCAGTGGGATTTTTATGAAGTGCCCTTCCTGCAGAGAACTTAACGTCCTTTTCCTTCTTCATATCTCATAGTAATTTGCCAAGAGTTTCATGGATGGGTGGGGATCAGAAGCACTTCTGAGGAAGCAGGAACATAATAAAATTCTTCAGTATGCTTTCAGGTGAAGTCACTCCCACTGCAAGTGGGATTTACTTCCAGGGTTCGGCTTGCGTTGCTATAAGCAGACCCGGGAGCTGGAAATAGAGAGAAATGTGTTCTGTCGTCCAAGGGAACGCAATTACTAATTTTAATTTCCAGAGTATTATTTATTTACCATATGGCAATTTCTTTTTTTTACCTGGGGGACCGAAAATGACCGTGTGTGTTTGTTTTTAGAACACCTTACCAGTGTTCAGCCTTCCCTCAGTCCCAGGCGGGAGACAGAGATTGTGTGTCACACGCAGGACACATTACGCAGGTTCCCACCCAGGTCAAGGCAAGAACAAGTACCTCACTTCGCTCAGGCTGTTCGCAGCTCACCCCGCCCAGGCGGGGGCAGCAGCAAGTCCTCAGCTTCCCACACGCGAGCAGAGCGGGGCGGGCGTCTTTAGAAAGCCTTCCCAACGGCAGAGCGGGGCCACTCGGTACTCTTCAGAAAGGGCGGTAGAACTCGGGGCCGAAGGCAGGCAAGCCGAGGGGAAGAAAGAGAAAGTTCGGACTCCCGGCAGCTCACTCAAGCAAAGCGCAAGGACGAGCCGACAGCGCGCCACATGGAGCGGCTGGCGGGCGAAGTTGGGCTCCCCAACCTTAGTTTCTGAGGCGGGAGACCGAAGCCGTGGCCGGCCAACCGGAAAACGCTCCGCATGCGCTGCTCGGTGAGGAGTGTGGGGGGGAAAGAAGGGCACCAAATTTAAACACCGGAGGAATGGGACGGCGAAAGGAAGGAGGGGTTGGAAGGGCGAGGGGAGCCGGCGGAGAGGGCTATAGCTTGGAGGTGGAGACGGTGGGAGGAGAGCGAAAGGGAGAGGAAAATAAAAGGGGGCTAGGGGAGGAGGAAGGGGTGGGAAGCAATGGCAGGGCAAGGAAAGTGAGAGTGTGTCTTTCTCATTCTCTCCAGAGGGAGCTCAGATCTCCTCCTTCCCTTCCTCCCGTCCCGAGGCATATCCAAGGAGCCCTTTCCTTTTCGCTATTGCTGAGCGTCCCCCACTGGGCACCACCATGGTAGACAGAGGTCCCCTGCTGACATCCGCTATCATCTTCTACCTGTCCATCGGGGCAGCTATTTTTGAAGTCCTCGAGGAACCTTACTGGAGAGCAGCGTCGGATGAGTACAAATCCAAGAAAACGCAGCTCCTAAAAGAGTTTCCCTGCCTAGGCCAGGAGGGGCTGGATAGGATCTTAAAGGTGAGTTTAGAAAGCAACTTTCTTCTTCTTGTTGTTGTTATCTGTCCCATTTAAAAAATCGACTGAAAGCTGCTGAGTTGGGAGAAGTCTGGAGGCTTGTACCCCCCCCCCATCTGCCCAAAACCACCAAGTGCAGATTTTTAAGGGTAGCCTTTGTTATAAGCCTAAGAAAATGCCACCTAAGATGATTTCAGAATGCATACTGTGTCTTGCAGAGGGGAAGTAGTCTCTTTTCAAACTGGAGACAATTGTGTGCGTCGTGGAAGTCAAACCTTTGAATGAAAACATGGTTATTGTTCAGCTCTGATGGCGCGTTTCAAGCCCTGTGCTGCCTCCCTCACAAAATTGCACAAACCTAACAATGCATGAACTAAATTCAAAGTAGATGAACAGTGGAAGACATGTGTTTGCAGAACAAATCGTTCTTTGACAGAAACGCATTAATGGTGACAGCAAGAACTCAAGCTGTAATAATCTCAATTCATTTTTCCTGTGGGTTTTTTTTTGTGTGTGTGTGTGCTCTCACTGTATTTTAAATTTTATAACAGCATTTTTCTGAAATAATACTTATCAAAAGGCTTTTCTCCAGGCCTGTTGAGGTTTAGTTGGCTTGTCACTGTTTCCACACTATAAGCAGCAACTTGATCAATCATACTTTGCAACTGGTTATTTTATGGTTTTTCTAGGGGGCAGGCTCAGTCCTTTGTTGGCCTGTTTTATGTCAGCAGCAGGTGCTTTGTTTCCCATTCAGTTTTTTTTTAATGTTGCTCAGATGCATGAGTAAAACTCAGAGCAGGTGAAAAGAGTGATTGAGATGGCAAACAGAAAACAACTGCTAGGAGGGGTAAACTAGCTTTGCAAAATGGTTTCTTTCCCCTTAATACTAACATGAAATGCCCTTGAAGGAATGTGCAGCTTCTGGTTTTGAGATTTGAATGCCAACTTTAAGCAGTTATAGATATGATTCTGTGTACATTTACTTGAAAGTAAACCCCGTTGAATTCTGTGGGACTTATTTCTGTGTAATGCATAGGGTCCAGCTGTTTCATGAGAAAAAAAAAGGCTTGTTTGTTAATAAGCGCTTCAATACTGGTAGGCTGGATAGCCCCTTGGGCTCTTTGTCTACTTCTGTTGCTTGAAAAGTTCAGAGGTGAAGGCTAGTTTAAAGGAATTCACCATGAAATGTTCCTTCACTGGTTCATTGGTAATGCAATCCTCAATTTCCCTTACTAAACTATGAACTCTTTTAAAAATAGGAGTATGTGTGTGCTGATAAATCTAAACATGAATGCAAAGATTCCAGTCCTCAAACTGTTTGGTGGGCAGAAGCCCCACTGCACCAGAATCCAGAAACAAAAGATGATGCTAAATAGTTTCTGCACTTGACCCTTCTCTTTGTTTGCCTGTCTCTTTTTGTGTTCTTACTAAATCCCAGTGTGGAAAATTTGCCTGGGACTTTGTTAAAGTCTGGCTTGCATAGGGTATGAAGTCAGAGTAAAATAAAAACAAAACCTGTGGAATTCTTTTTATAATGGAGGTACGACTTAGGTTGAATGTTAAATTAACTTTTAATCTTTTGTGTTTAGCAATGGAAATGTTCCTTTTTTGGAGTAAAAACAAGAATTATTGTGACAAGCTTTCGTGGCACTAAGAGTTGGCAAGTGTATAGATCAAAAAAGGGAGTGAAAGGACAAGAAGTGCAGAGAAGTATAGTAGTCTGTGACAATTCTGGGTAAAGCTGATTGTTCTGGGGTGCTTGTGCAAACTGTCATAGAAACGTGAACATGGAAAGTGAGTGATCCAGTACTAAGGAATACTGCATCTTTCCACAGAAGACTTAGGAAGCCAGTGTGACTGTAGATGATCCTGTGACAAGAGCATCAGTTTATTCAGCCAAGGCAGAAATTCATAGCTAAAGTCCATGTTTGCCTATCTAAAGGGGATGGGAGGGAGACCAACATTTTTTTTGAGCTTGTCTTTGTCTTGCCTTTTGCTATAATATTTGAATTTTGTCTTTTAGCTTGCAAAGCATGTTAACTCTCCTCATGTTAACAACGAGCTATGTGAAGCTGACCATTACTGTACCTCTTTTACAATGAGAAAGTGGCCCTGGTCACACGAAAGGTTTTGGGCCGGGAGAGGGACGAATCGGGGGTGCAGCAAATGGGTGTGATCCCACCGCAACATCTGGGAAAGGTTGCGCACCCGTCCCCGATCCGGCCCTTCCGGCCGAAAACCTGCATTGAAACTAAACCACCTCCTGAGGAGGTCTTACCTGAATGGCCACGGCAAGCGTCCTTCTGCCGGCACATCCCCGGCTCCTGGCTGAACTGCGCATGCTCATGCATGCGCAGCCAGCTGCCTCGGTCTCCCGACCGTGGCTTCCTCCCTGGCATCTGATCGTGCTGGGGAGCAACAGCGCCTTGGCTCATGGGATCCA